TTCTATTTGTATACTGGAAAAAAAAACGCTAGCTTACATCTTTTCTCATCATGTGCATACCAATGTGCCGTCATGCCGTCATTTATGGTGAATCCAGGAACTATTGTTATGCCTGGTATCTTCGTAGTTTAAGTGCACAAAGAAACACTACAAAGAAACAAAACATAAGTGCTTAAAGTATTTAGCTCTTATTAAAAAGCTAAGGGTTTCTTTATTTATGAGAGTATGCAAAAAAACGTTTAGGAAGCATCCGTAGTTAGACGTATCAGCCGCCCACACCACGCGCCACCTCTCACGAACCTCGACGCACTGCTGCTAAGATACGTACAACAAGAAAATCATTCTCAAGCGCCAGCATGGCATGGCATTGATTCGATAAAAAAACAGAAAAGCATCACAGACTTTTTCTGCCTGTTGGCAATATTTTGAATCTATGAGGTTTCATTTTTTAATAATTTACGATGAACAAATTCCTGAAAACAATAAACTTGGACACACGTCTGACAATCTTGTTTTCATGGGTGCTAGTATAATAATTGTTGGTGTTTGACATCCTGAAACCACGATATTTTCGTCTTCATCCAAACTAAGACTACCACTGCCGGGATTCGATCGACCTGCGGGTCAGCCCCCGACCTCTGTAATCATTAGACAACCGTGGCAAATTTTCTATGGGTAAAGTGCAATTGTATTCATTCGAGCACCAACGAGAACTTATTTTCATACAAGGGTTGTCTGTGTTTTTACCCGAAGTTCGGCAGTGTCCGCTTCAGCAGAATATCATGGTTGCTCCTTAACGTCCCTATTGTTCTATGTTTGTAACCGACTATGTGTAACCGACTATGTGACCGAGAGATAGTGCAACCGCAAACAACACTTCACGTGCTCAGAGAACAGGTGTAGAAAACGCGCCAAGCCATTTACTCCGAAAACACACAGCCATAGAATGGTTCTCAATACCGACTTGGTTCTAATTGCGTATATCTGCTGCACTCCGAACGTTTTCAGGCATTTGCAGTATACCTTGGTGACATTTCGTAGCAACAAAACCATGACCTTTGTAATTTGATGCGCAAAAAAGATCGATGTGTTCTCCTGGAGAGCAGCATTTGTGAGCAATCGAGCAAAACAGGGGTGGAAACCTTGAAGCAGAAGACAAAAAAATTCAGGTGCTGAAATATAATATCGAGCTGCTCTAGTTAGCGGTTGTTCTAGCAGAGTGTGACGTTGGGTAAGTTGATACATAGCTTAATAAATTATTTGTGGCGCAACTGATACTACCAGAAAAGAGCAGTAGTTGAAACGAGTCGAAAGTCTTGCGCCCTACCCTGTCTCCTTTTTTTCCTGTGAAAACTTCAAAATCAAAATTATGTATGTTATACTTGTTGACTGACTCCGGTGTGGAGAGGGGGTTGACACTTCATACGAAGGAAACAAAAAAAATTCCCCTATTGGTGTCTTCAAATCATGTCAGTACTCCTGTAAGTGATTTCTGTTCTGGCCTGTCAATTTTTGACAAAGCTCATAAATAGTCATTTTTAATGTATTTTGCTGCAGGAGGACGTCAGTCCCGGCCAGGTATGTCAGTAACTGCTCAGTGATTTTTTGTTTTGCATTTTTCTTCGTTTCATGCGTTCGCTTTATGGTTTTCCTAAGGCATCTAGTTTGATTCATGACCAAACACTAGTCGCATGTGCATGCGTGTCCCTCGTTATGTAAATAAGTGTGTGGTCTTGAAAAAAGTAAAATTTATTGTTTCTTTGTCTGTGTAGCCTTGGTGCACGTTCACTAGTTTTATAAAGGTCTTTAGTCACTACCCACCAGCTGAGCTAAATTTATCAACAAGCACAACAAATAATCAGCACCTTTGCGTTTCATTTCAGATTCCCACAGAGCATCGAGAGTATTCCTAATGTTTTTTTCATTGACAAAAACGTACTACTAATAGCTGCTTGAAGGGAACTTTACACCTATCAATAAAGATAATATTACATTCTGGCATTCCTCCTTATCATAGCTGTGATTACTTGATGCAGCTATGTAGCAAAACGTCCCTCAATAGGTTTTCTTACAAAGGCCATGCTTGCAGACTCATGTATTCTTCAAAATGCATTTTTCAGAATTATTAAAATAAAGATACTAGGCCACCCACATGTAGTCTGTAATTAGGTAGTTATATAACTATGTTTTTAATTTTAGTGCACTTGTATAGCACAATAATGAGATTGGTTACTTCTCCTTTTAGGAGTCACGTATTTAGTATGCATGTTTTTTTGTTGCTTCTGTTTTTCTTGTCATTGTTTGTGTGCAAAATGTTGTTGTTTCTGGTTGGAGGACTTTGTTAGGCATGAATCCCACAGGCCTTTTTTTGGACGTGTAAACTTTCTTTGCATTTCAATAGGGTAAAAATCAATTCAATGTATATGTCAACTGTGGCATATTGTTTCTGAAAATCTTTTGATATGACTTAGTCGTTTGCGCTTCATTACGTGCCCACATTTTAATTTGGGTTATGTCGATTGCCCTACTGGTGCAATAGCGGAAAGAAATACTGCCGTCAGTAGATGTGCCAATGAGTTCGTCGGTACTCCCACGAAGCCCTTGGGCCAAGGCTACGAGGCTACATATGTCAGTAATTTCCTCTCATGAATTTTCGCATGGTCTATGTATCTCGCTCTGTGTCCACCTCGCCTTTCTAGTCCATTCCCAAATAGTTCATAAACGAGTGTCAAGTCGTATTCTACGTTAGATCTTCCTTCTTTCATTTGTGTCTGCTTCTTCTCTTTCCCGCCTTTGTTTTCGCTGATATTTGGTGCAGCTACAGTGCATCTCTCTCTTTTTAGCAGCGTGAATTCAAATCATTGTTGCGCCTCGGTAATTTTCACGTGATCGTCCCACATGTGTTAAAAAGCTCCCAGTTGATATCTAATTGGAAATATGTTATACGAAATGTTTATACAGTGAGCTCGCATAACGTATTTATTCTACGCTGCCTTAACGTTCACCGTTCGTCATTGATACTTCAAACATCAAAACAGGGACCTGAAATGGCCTACTGAAGCCATACCACTTTTGAGGACCGATGCTGCCAGCAATCTTCGATGACTTGCGCGTGAAATCACGTTTTCACTATGGTGCCTACCAAGCATCGATACGAATCGTCAACACCACCTGTCCTCTTTGATGGCTCTCCGCATACCCACTGGACTCGACCGAAGAGAAGCCCCCTTCATCGCTTATGGCGAGGAGTGGCATTTACAAAATCTTATTCCTTTGTCATAGGAATGGCCGACAACGCTCTCTGCGATGCCTGTCATTGCGAAGAGACGCTACAAGACATCCTGTGTGACTGTCCGTTGTATAAAACCCAGAGACAGTCAATGACGTCTGCTTTTGCGCGCATCGACAACAGCCTCATGTCTGTGGACACTATTCTGTCAAGTGCCCGAGAGAAGACATTGCTACAGAAGGCGACGAAATCTCTGATGAAATTCCTACGCGACAACGACTTGAACAAGCGACTGTAACAGCAATGTCACACACCGCGAAAGATAAGACTGGATCATGACTGAGTGTGCGCGTGTGTGGTGACGAATGTGCTGTTTCTCTCTTCCCTCTCAGCTCTCTTTCATCTCCCCCATCCCTCTCCCATGCTCAGGGTAGCAAACCGGCTGCCTATAGGCTGGCTAACCTCCCTGCCTTTCTTTTCCCTCTACTTTCCTTCCTTCCTTCCTTCCTTCCTCCGTCCTTTGGTCGCTCACTATCTTTCTTGCCTCAAAAAAAAAAGCGTGAGTAAAAAGAAAAAAAAAACAAGAAAAAAGCTCATAGATTTCTCTATTACCACCATTCTGACAGTTAATAATATCCAATTCACGTATATTTGACACTGACAGGCGTTGAAGTACAATTATGGGAATTATTCTCACATGGACTTAGGTGCCCAAACATCGGTCATAGAAGCTCACTGTGCATGCACTAGTCGCGTTCCTGGGGGCTCTAAATAAAGTTCTTCCATCCATCGCGCATTGCATGGGGCTCTTAGAAAAATATTAGTCCACTTGAAGTTATTGAAAACGTCATCCATTTCTTGGTTCCATTCGGACTACCAAAGAACATACTAAGGAGACTAAAAAATGGGTCTTTCGTTCATTTTTGCTGCTTTCTTTATCCTGGAATGAGTTTCTTAAGAGGTGAGCGTTACAACGTGAGCATTTTTCTATACCGCCGACAGCAACTCCGAACTCTTCCCCATGCGCACACGAACATGCGAGCGCATAGACGAGCGCATATGATGTTCAGGGAACTTCTAGCATGAAGATCTTGTTCTCGAAATCTGGGCATGAATGCCAGGGGTCTGGACGCTCAGCCGTCGTGGGCTTAGTGGGAACATGTGCATCAGGCAGCGCATCACGTGGTAGAAAGCGGATAGCCACCGCCAGCTATCTGGCTAGCCGCTTGGTAACCAAACACTGGCGGAGGGCGCTGAAAAAGGGGTCTGCCTGGCGAAGTGTGTTTTTGTACTCCGACCCCGAGATCTGTTGGTGTAATCGATACCTGTACGCAGTCGGCGTTCGAGCGAGGGAGGGTGGTGTGGAGGCGCCACGGCGTGGGGTTTTGCGCCAACGCTGCAAATCAAGCAGTCAGAAATCAGCACGCTTGCAGTGCGTGTGTGTTTGTTGGGGGGGGGGGGGTAGCTGAGCTGAATAGTGCGTGACCGGACTCTACTTATGAAATAAAGAAAGCAAACTTAATGTGTGCCGCAACAGACGCAGACAATTCCCGTTGCCTCGTTTTTTGAAGCAGACGACGACGGCCGGAACGCACGAAGTGCGATCCAACAGCCAATGGGAGAGCGAGCGTCGTCCCTGTTGCCCCTGGCAACTGCCAATGGGGGCCCCTTACCGGTCAAACTGGCTTGTCTTGGCCCGGCCGCTCGGCGGGCGAGAAGACCAAGAAGAGAGAGGTAACACCGGTCGGTGGCATTCCGCTTTGTGCACTGTGACGCTTCGGATGTTGGCCGCGAGTGCTCTCCGCTTGGCGCGACTGTGAACGCCCGGATGCGAGCGGGATTAGCGTGGATGCGCGCCACCACTGCCGGCTCGTGTTGTGTGTGAGAAGAAAGACGCGCTGTTTTTCGTGAACTACCGGACAGTGCTGGCGAGTCGTCGATAATTTTGGGGAAGTCTCTCTGCTTAGGATCGTCGGTGGTTTTGTCGTTGCACAGAGCGCGGCAGCTTCCAAGCCGCCGCCTCCTCAAATTCAGTTATGGATACCACCTGCCTCACGCCCATCATTCTCCTGCTGGGTGAGTTGTCCGACTCTGTAAAGTACAACGCATCGCCGCCTTTATTATTTTTTTACGAATGGTGCACTTGCTCATTAACTGTTCCACAGAATTGCACTACAAGGACCACCAAAGTCAAATTTTGAGACCTTTTGAGGCGAACGCATTTGATTCAGCTCTGTGGTTGACGTCAAGTTACAGGGTCTCGTAAATGGTCCTATTGCGAAAATTTCAATTAAATGCAAGGCGGTAAGCTGGCATTGTGGTGGCTTCGGCATCTGTTCACTTGCTATAACAAAGGCGTTTTGGAAGTGGAGCAAGTGACCATGATATTGCGGAGGTTGGTATGGTACCTTACCAATGTACCGCGGAAACTTAAAGAGTGTCAGCATCGACACGCGTGTCACTTGCACTCAATCGTCATGTGCAATTAAGAGTAACTTTGGAGCTATTCTAAATGTCTGATGGAGCTTGGGAGCCTTAGAAAGATCTGAAGCGACGTGGTATCGTGTTGGTGCTGGTTTCCAGAAGAACTGGAATGTACCGCTGTTTAAGCTTCACCTTTAAAAAATTTAGTGTCCTTCAAGGATTGTCCGGCTGTTCGGCTACGACAGTAGCCCTACCAAGTTACTTGGACACCTTCAGAAACTCTATATATGTGCTAAGCCGCTTGGAGCATGTCCAGCAACATTCACCGGTAACTTACTCAAATGTCTCCGTCGCTGGCATTTCCGGTTAAAGAAAACCACTCACCATGTCACTCTTAATGAAATAGGTTTGACTAGCGCGCTTTTGCAAAACAAATGTTTTTAAAAATGATTTTAAAGCAACGTGGAGAGGAAATGGTCCGACTTTTTTTTCTTGCAGACGTTGTCAGAAGGAACGCACGCATGGGAGAAAGGCGAAGTACAGCTGTGTAGCAGCAATGATATACTATGCTCCTATGAAAGCACAAGTTGCTATACTTAATGTCATTTAGCATGGGGCGTCCTGCCCACTGGTCAGTGCTCCGAATCGTAAAGATTCCTTTTCCTACACGCACCCTCAATATGGACGTTCGCAGTAAAGAACTTGAGTTCTGAAAAGGCATTCCTTTCTTTTTAATAGCGAGGAGATATGTACGATGAATATAAGTTTGTATGGGACATGAAGAACCCTGGATTGTACAAGCAATACTGCTGTAAATGGGTTTGTTGTCAAGGTCCAAAATATTTTGCGTTCTGGGGTCCTCCCCATATGTGTCTGTTTCTATTTCCTTGAGGTTTTTCGGAGTTGTGGAGTTGTAGAGTGATTTACTTATTTACGGCTTGTGTCACACCAGAGCAATATCTCCTGACGCCAGCTCACCAAAACGACTGAAGCATCAGCCCTAATCAAAAGAACACACCTGATTTCTGTCCTTATGCATTACCATTCTTACATTACGTGCAGTGTACTAGGAATCGCCACGGCACAATATGAGATTAACTAAACAAACTCGGCATACGCAGAGAAGATTATTGTGTGTTTGGCCATAGCGTTTGTTTTTAGCTATTGGCTCAAACAACGAAGTGAACGAACCGCACCGATTTCGGAACTCCACTTTCCCGATGGTAGGTCCCGATGGTAGGGGCCATTGTGTCAAGAATAATAGCATCTGACACCGCATATTGGAAGTCTATTATAAAGTATAGTTCATCAAATGTGCTTAGTTTTACCTAGCAATGCTAGAGACGAGTTATTTAGGCAGCCTTCGCCGAATGGTCCTTAATGAGTTTGTGACGATGAGTACTTAGCTCAGATGTAGACGCCCGCTTAAGACGGAGCCTGTTATAAATTTGCAGGGTGTTTCAAAAGTTCCCAGGCCGCAATCCTATGTATTCATATATGTGCAAGGGAGTTTAAAAGTGACGCCAGGTAGTAGGCAGGCAGCCGGTACGGACACCAATGCTCGAACAGTCCAGCGTCTATAGCTCGTGCACACGCTCGCGCTTCGCACTCGGAGATGGTCCCATTAGTCAGTGCCTCGCGAACTCCCCACTACATATGTAATTGTGGCCTGGGAGTTTTTCCACGGACCCTGTACACCATCCACTTCGAAGGTAACGCAGCCTGGGAGCTCTGAAACACACAGTGGAATCAAATCTCAGTTGGTAGAGGAAATCACCAGGCGGGTGATCCTTTGAGAGTGCTGTGTTCGTTGCACTTTTGTTCCAGAGGGGGCATCGTACACTTTCCAAGTACACGCAGTGACCGAAATATACTATGTTTGGGCTGACACAAGTGCTGCGGCAGCAGCTGTTACGAAATTGTTTGCACTTCATAGTGCCGAGTGCTCACCACTGACTGAATGAACTTGAATGGCCAGATTAAATAAGTAATGAACTGTATCTTTGTATGTTCGCGTACACAACACAATCCTTTTACATGGCCCCAAACGTAGTATATGTTCTTCAGCCACAGGCATATCGTTCTAAGTGATTGTAACAATACCAAAGCAAGCTCGTCTATTTCTTCTGTTGCACACAGTTACGTTTCTTGTCTAACATGACCCGTATGTCATGGACGCCAAGAAGGCGAGCCCTGCCGTTTCTTCGCTGAAACGAAGTGTTACGCGTGGGGATTAGACAACCATTGAGGCGCCGCTTTTTTTTTCTTGTTAAGGTGCTTTTTTTCAGCGACGTACACTTCGATCGCGAGCAAGATTGGGCAAGCGTTCCAATTTGAGCCGCAAAAAACTCGATTCCATTGGGTCCAGTTCGAGGCCACGGAATGCGACAGAGAGTGGTTGTGGGCCCACGCTGAGAACGCTTGCGCTGCCTTTGTGTATAGATCGGCACACATCTCATGTGCCGGGCCTCATTGGTTGCCTGGTTGCTGCTTTTAGTTTCGCCTCTCCCCGAGCAACTGGAGACAACGTTTAGGAGAAAAGAAAATAAGGGCATAAGGAAAGGAGGAAAATAACTAGAAAGAAAAGAAGTTGACACTGCGAAGTGATCTCTTTACCAGCAAGGACGACGGTTGTCGGTTTGATTAAGAAAGAAACGGCAGAAAAAGAAAGCCCCAAGGCTTCTCGCTTCCTACGCTGTGCCTAGACGCTGGAATACGCGCTCGGCATATCGATACACATCTATCCCACCTCATGAAGAAGAAGTAATAAAAAAAGAAGCCATGTGGGCTATATACGGTGACCCGGATGAATTGTACGATGAGAAAAGAAAAAAAAAGTATTTAAGAAAGAGAAGGTTCGATCTCACAGCTGCTGCCGTTTCTTGCGGGCTGCGAGCCTGCAACCTAATCTAGTGCTGTGGGAGACAGTTCCTCATTGCGGTCACCGCAAAGGGCACGTATACACGATTTGGCCTGGTGCTTAATATTTCAATTGCACTGTTTGGTTTTATATTTTTTAAACTGACAATAGCGTGGCTAAACTCACAGGGAGTGCAAATGTGTGATTTTCTTGTCCAAGTTCTTATTAGCACGCGTCTAATTTTCATCGCCACAATCACGACGCATCAATCGTATATGTGGAAGCTGGTTATAGGTGTGCAACTGTTTAAACAATTGTCGAAGCACCCTGAGTTGTTTGTTGGATTTTGCAATGAGAACGACATGGAAATAGTAAGCGCAACAAAGAAGTACGATTACAGTTATATATTTGAAGCATACTTCGTCACTGAAGCTTTACGTTGTGTACGGAATTAAATCAGGCGAGTGCACACATGGGGCAAGCCTGACTGAGCACTTGCGAAGGTCGTGTAAAATTCAAGGAGCTATGTTGCTTAGACTCGACAACATTACGGAAAGTGGTCGATGAGCCCTTAGTGTTCAGTGAGTTTACTGTCCTTGTCACTGCGCACGTGATTAGAATGAATGCGCGTCATGGAGTGTCTCGACGCAGCAGAATGGATCCGGGTGCACATACTCGTCCGCTGCAACGTGTGACGCCAGCCGTGCGGGACACGCACCTCAGTTGTGCGCAATAATGCAAATGAATCAATGCAGCTACCGGATCCCATTACAACTTGGCAGGAATGATGAAACAACTGTTTTGACATGCCTTCGGTGCAGTGCGACTGGAGCATACCGATGCTCCCGCACACAGTCTTCGTCCGTGCTGCTCGTGTAATACGAGGATTGCATTAAATAACACGTGCTGCTTGCATTGCAACTATAGGGAAAGAGAGAAATTTCAAATATCTGGTTTATTTGAATTAGCAGAACCAACAATTCAGGGGCTGCGTTTGATGCGCGTCAAGTCACGTTTACGCTCTCATGAACTGCTGTTGCAAAATTTTCTCATTATACAAAAAAAAATATATTTTCGTCAGTATGAATTAAAAAAACAGCTCACCAATTTCGTCGAGATTGCGTAATTATAGAATCGGATAATTCATGACGCCTGTACAGCACATAATGCGGGATGCATTAAGGGTGATGAAACGGTTGCCAAGGTAGGATGTCATGGAGGGCCTCCTTTTTGTCTTTGTTTTGTGTGTCGTTTTTTGTCTGGTTGCTCACGCTGTTTTCTTCCAACATGTCGCATCAAGATGCCCAAGCAACCATTTTAGCATGGTAAGAAATTTGGAGCAAAAGCCAGATTCTGCATATTTAGTTTATGAAGCAAAAATATATATAATGAAGGCAATGAATGTAATGAACAGGCGTAATTGATGATTAAATATAGATCACTAATACAGAAGTTTGATTTGAGCCCTAAAAATGTCGATATATTGTGTTAACACTAACTTGGTCGTAGAAGAACGAGGGGCATTAAAGGTTTTTAGCATGCACGGGAGTGGTTAGAAATGCTCAATAAAAAGCCAGAGTTGTCCAATAGCCCATTTAAGATGTTTTCTGTCAATGCCTCGTGGTAGCTGTGATAATAAGAGAGCTATATCACCCTGATGGTTTGTTGTCTGAAGAAAAAATAATATTTTGATACGTAGACCACCTGTCATGCTAATGTGTTGGAAGAATTGAATTAACGTATTTTTATTTAGGAAATGGCCGTCATGGTTCTAAATATTGCGCATTGGTTG